CACAGCCGAGGAACAGAGCATTATTTTACGAGGAGTACCGCAACATTATAACAGTGAGGAGCAGGACAGCCACTGCCGCTAAAAACCGGAGGGACTGCTGGCAAAAAAAATCACACATGTAATGTAATGTGTGTAAATGTAAATGTAATAGTGTAAATTACACATGTGCGTTCATAAATTTATGGCCCCCTAATATGTTGTCATACAGCTTGTGTGATCACCTCCATCAATGACCTCATTATTTCAGATCTAACAGCAGTGGGGGAAAGAGTGCGTGGGAGCAAATAAAAATAAATCTAAAAAAATGCTTTAAAGTACTTTGTAGGTTTATTGGAAGTTTTTTTCTTTTTTTCTCCATCATCTGATGGTCGTCATCTGCAGACACATTTGGGGTTAAGAGTTTTCTAATCTGCTTCAATAAATTCTGAATGACGACTGATATGCCGCATGAAATTGGAACTTGGAGCTTGGCAAATATTAGTGCATTGCTTAGACTTCATGCTTTGTTGAGGCTGTCCGAGGAAAACCTGTAACGTTCATAATCAGGTAAATCAAACGGGTTTGAACGATCATGAATATAACGCTCTCGGCGAAGCGCTCCTCTCACTATCCATGCAACGATGTCCCCGGGATCTGGCAAAAGTGGGCAAGCCATTTTCCAAGAGATCCGATTGGTCAGTGAGCGGTCTTTTATACCTGCTGAGATCTAATCCTGAAACATAACCTGCTCCGGAGCAGGTTTGGCGTTCCGCGTAAGTTACCGCGGCAACGGACCCGGATAAAAAGAGATCCACCTTCGTAGTACGGAAAACCCAGAAGTTATCCAGAAGTTATCTCGCTATGACCAAATCCAGCTTCTTAGTACAGGCCTCAGACCTAAACCACGAAAACCTTTCTTTTCCACCCATGAAGCACGCAGAAATTTCACTTGTGTAAATATTACAGGGACAGCTGACAGTTTAGGCTCAATCAACAGCAGCTGTTGTGAAGCCACGTTGACTGTTGATCCTTCAAACCACTGTCCAGGAGTGACATGTGGTGGTGGTGTGGAGAAAACAAATTGTTTGACAAAATGCCCATGAACAAAACTGGACTCTGTGCCTTAGTAACCTTGATCCTACCTGTTGTAACTTTCCTGACCAGTGTGGCAAATTTAAGCTCTGCAGTTAGTCTTATTCCCTTGTTGAGCCACCCCAGAGCAAAAAGAAACTGGCAAACAGAATCAGACCCGACTTACATAGATCCAATTGGAGTTCCTTGTGGGGTACCAAATGAATATAAACTGGTAGATCAAGTCGCTGCAGGTTTTGAGTCTCTCATCTGTCCTTGGTGCACAATGGCAAAAAATGTAGATTGAATCAACTACATCCATTTCAATGTTCAAAAGCTAGGTAACTGGAGTGAGGCTGGTTTCCAGGCCATCCACTCGCAGTTGTCTGCAACATCCCTGATGGCTTTCCAAAACCGTATAGCCCTTGACATGCTGCTTGCAGTAAAAGGAGGTGTATGTGCCATGTTTGGATGTGTTGCACATTCATTCCTAACAACACTGCTGCTGATGGCAGCCTCACTCGAGCTATAGAGGGTCTTAGAACACTTAACAGCAAAATGAAAGACCACTCAGGAATAGATAAATCATTTTGGGACGAATGGATGAATGCCTTTGGAAGATATAGAAACCTTGTGGCTTCAGTTTCTGTTGCTGTTTTTGCAGCTATTTTGACCTTGTGTGGATGCTGTTGTATTCCCTGTATTCGTTCTCTCCTTAATCACCTTATCACGACAGCATTGTCCCCTGTAGAGCAGCAGGTGCAGGAATTGTACCCGCTGCTCTAACAACGGGACGAGGAGGACAGACTTGTTGAGACTCAATGGCCTGACCTGTACCCCAATCCTGATGATGAGTATGATTCTGACTAATGCAACAACTTGTTCCTCTGTGTGTAAATTCTTTGTAGTCATACACATGAACTCACAGCTGAAAATCGAGAGAAGTGGCTGAACTAGAGGGATTATGAGAATTTGAGCAAAGTAATGATAAACAGGAGGGAAATGTCAGAATAATGTGGATAAATGTATACAGGAATTATCAATAGTCTTACTCAAATTCCAAATGGAAAGGTTTCCTACAACTATGAACTGCTTTAACCTCTTGTTACATAACACATGAGGAAGTACTCATGAGTGTTGTCTAACTTCTCTGACCTTTTTTCTCCAATTAGCAGGTATGTGTTTTGTAACCTCCGCTGTGAGACGTGGGAGCAGTAGTAAAGGAGGAACCATTCCTACCATAAGAAGGAGATTGTGAAATGTCAGCAAGGTCATTTCACCCTCACAGATTGTCCACTTGTTAATGATTATGAGTGATGTAAGCAACCACGCTGCTGCAAGACTGTTTCCCCACCCTTTAGTGCATGCAGCGTTTTCTAAATAGGGACCACCCTAAGGATAACTAGGGCCCCGTTGGGGCACTGGCGGGCCCGAGCCGTGTCGCAGCGCGACCGCCTCCCCCTCCCGATCGCGTCACACTCAAGGTCCAAAGACGGTGTGCGCACTTGTCTGTGGTCATTTACCATTATAATGAATGAGAGGCGCAGTTTCTACCAAAACGCTCGCTGCAGACAAACTCCATGTCCTTTTTGAAAAACGTCTGGACCATGAGTGAGGGCACAAACACAGCTAGGACATATCCAAATGGCAAGTTGCTCCTCCTTTCGGTTTTGCCGAGAGAGCGATGCGTTTGAGCCATTGAGCGATGGGCAGGAAAAACTTGACTTTTTCTCCTGCCATGGGTGGTAAGGAAAATGACCAATTTTTTTTTATCAAACATTATAAAAAACTGGTTATCTCTTGCAGGGCATCAAAGTCTTGAATATGTGAGAGATTAGTAATATGATTGACTTTGATGCCTTTTAACTTTTTCTGTAGCATTAGATTTAATAGACAACTCCCTTTGGCGCCCCTCAGTGGCCAAAACTACTTTGTCTGCTGTAATATCAAATTGGATTAATGTTTTTTCTAGATTTTTTTTTTTTACGTCTCTTATTTTACTTCTGCCCTGTTCAAAACTAGCAAATGTTTCATTGAAAATATTTTTTTGACCCTTTAAGAGCCCATTTAAGACATAAAGTCACTAATATAGCAAAAATTTGAGCCTTTTAACTTTTTCTGTAGCATCAGATTTAATAGACAACTCCCTTTGGCGCCACTCAGTGGCCATAACTACTTTGTCTGCTGTTAACAGACAACTCCCTTTGGCGCCACTCAGTGGCCAAAACGACTTTTAAGAATGTGGATTTTTGGGTTATCTTTGGCGCCCCCTAGAACGTAAACCGTGGGGTGCAGCATCATGATTTTTACAACTCTGAATGGCCATGGGGTGTAGATTGGCCTGAATAAATTTGGTGTTGGTGGGACGAAAGCCTTAGGAGGAGTTAGCCACATTCCAATGTGTGTGAATCGGCAAAAAATGCGAAATAGCCCTTTAACCGTACATTTTACAGATACGTGCGCATTGACTTTTTCGTAGATCTTATTGAGATACACGTGTGTGTCAAATTTTGTGTCATTTTGACGAAGCGTACAGGCGTCAGGTGAATTTTCACCTTAGGGGGCGCTATGGAGCCATTTTGCATTTTATTGTTTGGGCGACTTCAGAATATCAAATTTCTCACCAGGCCCGGTCTTCCTGCCAAATTTCATGAGTTGTCGCCAATGGGAAGTGAGTTTTTTTCCCCTTTAAAGCGGAGGAAAAATTTAGAAAGAAGAACCCATCAGGAACTAGGGCCCCGGTGGGGCACTGGCGGGCCCGAGCCGTGTCGCGCCGCCCCCAGCACGACCGCCTCTCCCTCCCGATCGCATCACACTCAAGGTCCAAAGATGGTGTGCGCACTTGTCTGTGGTCATTTACCATTATAATGAATGGGAGGCGCAGTTTCTACCAAAACGCTTGCTGCAGACAAACTCCATGTCCTTTTTGAAAAAAGTCTGGACCATGAGTGAGGGCACAAACACAGCTTCGATATATTCAAATGGCAAGTTGCTCCTCCTTTCGGTTTTGCCGAGAGAGCGATGCGTTTGAGCCATTGGGCGACTGGCAGGAAAAACTTAACTTTTTCTCCTGCCATGGGGGGGCGCTCTTTTGGGGAGTAAAAATTCCTTCACAAATGTGTTGATGGCTGGACATTGCATCATCCTAGAAAACTTGGATGCCAGTGAGGACAAAAATGAAAAGTTATAAGACTTTTAAGAATGTGGATTTTTGGGTTATCTTTGGCGACCCCTAGAACGTAAACCGTGGGGTGCAGCATCATGATTTGTACAACTTTTAATGGCCATGGGGTGTAGATTGGCCTGAGCAAATTTGGTGCCGGTGGAACGAAAGCTTTAGGAGGAGTTTGCCACATTCCAATGTGTGCGAATCAACCAAAAATGCGAAATAGCCCTTTAACCGTACATTTTGCAGACACGTGCGCATTGACTTTTTCGTAGATCTTATTGAGATACACGTGATTGTCAAATTTTGTTTCAATATGACAAAGCGTACAGGCGTGACACTCAACAATGTGTATTTTCACCTTATGGGACAAGAAAAAATGGCCTTTTTTCTCCTGCCATGGGGGGGCGCTCTTTTGGGGAGTAAAAATTCCGTCACAAATGTGTTGATGGCTGGACATTGCATCATCCTAGAAAACTTGGAGGCCAGTGAGGACAGAAATAAAAAGTTATAAGACTTGTAAGAATGTGGATTTTTGGGTTACCTTTGGCGCCCCCTACAACGTAAACCGTGGGGTGCAGTGTCATGATTTGTACAACTTTGAATGGCCATGGGGGTTAGATTGGCCTGAGCAAAAGTGGTGCCGGTGGAACGAAAGCCTTCGGAGGAGTTAGCGAAATTCCAATGTGTGCGGATCGGCAAAAAATGCGAAGTAGCCCTTTAAACGTACATTTGACAGATACGCCCGCACTGACTTTTTTGTAGATCTTATTGAGATACACGTGTGTGTCAAATTTTGTGTCATTTTGACAAAGCGTACAGGCGTGACACTCAATCATGTGAATTTTTCACCTTAGGGGGCGCTATGGAGCCATTTTGCATTTGATTGTTTGGGTGACTTCAGAATATCGAATTTTTCACCAGGCACGGTCGTCCTGCCAAATTTCATGAGTTTTCACCAGTGGAAAGGGGGCCATTTTCCAGTTCAAAGGGGCAGAAAAATAATAAGAAGAAGAAGAAGAAGAAACTAGGACCCCGTTGGGGCACTGGCGGGCCCGAGCCGTGTCGCGTCCCCCCCCCCAACGTGCTGCCTCCCCGTCCCATTTGTGTCCTCTGGCCATCGCCCTCTCTGGTAACGCCCATCACTGCAAAGACCCTTTTCCTTCATCGGCGTTTGCTGTTCTTCCTGCCAGTGCGTGTTGCTTTCACTTACACTTGCCACAGCCAGCCTCGTGAGTGCCTAGCCTATTGGATATCACTGTCACCTACACAGGACAGTCATTACCTTTCTATTAATACTTTGTGTTTTAATTTCACATTAATTCCCATATTGTATAAACAACTGGAAAAAACTTGAGCCCCTGCCCCTGTATAATCATGTGCATGTCTCTGTTCTAGCTCCAAGGTGAATCTTCACTGCTCATGTTCTCCTCAGAAGCACTCACCTCACTCCCCTCAGGTTACTGTACACATGCACCAACTGCCTGCTTCAGGTTTGGATGGAGCTTCATGGTTGTCTTTTGGAGAAATGACCAGTCAAGTTGTGTTTGAAATTTGATTTTTTTTTCAGGGGCAAAAGGAGCCTCTGCATTCTTGTCAAATATGTAAATAGCATGTTTTTGCAGGTGCTAAAAACCAGACTCTGAGTGTGTGTGTGTGTGTGTGTGTGTGTGTGTGTGTGCGTGTGTGTCTGTGTGTGCGTTCAAGTCACATGACATATTTAACCGGATGTAGCTGCAAGACGGAGCCTCGTTGACTCTCCGTTTCAACTTATCTCAAAAGTGAGGACCTCAACCTATATACCAGTTTTTAAATTGTGTTGATAGGCCAAATAAAACCAGAGTTATGATCAATTATGTCCGCGATACTTGTTTTCTGCTCATTTTGATCACGTTCGGCGCTCGATCGCGCTGTATGAGACAGGAAAACATAGCATGCAGACATTAGCGACAGGTCTTACAGGCGGAAAAGGCTTGCCAAAGGAAAAAAAAAACACACCACAACATCTCTCCTATTGGTGGAAAACTTCACCACAACAACCAATCCAAAATTATATGGTGACTGATTGACAAGGGGCTGGCGCTTACGTTCTTCCTGCAATATGAGAAGGGAGGGAGGGACTCTCAGCAGGGATGCAGTCTGGGACACGTAGTTGCAAACCTAGCGACTTTGTTGTTAGATTCAATGACTTTTCAGACCCCCTAACGACTTTTTTTAGAAAGAAAGGGACTTTTATCGACTTCTTCTGGAGTTTAGAGACTCTGACATGAAGCAGGCTTTCCTTACTGAGGAGTTAGCAACGCTGCTAAGGGTGCAGAGCCACACATGCGCTCCGAGCTCTGCATGGGAGACTGAAGCTGACAGAGCTGCAGCAGTTAGCAGGTTTCACCCTCAGAGACCACCAGGGGTTCATGTTGAGGCATTTTCAGTTTTTTTTTTTTTTTTGCCATAGACACTGTCAGCACAATCTGCAGTTACACTAACAAAAATGCTGCAAAAAACAAAGAATTATGGAAAAATTACACATGGACTAACATAGAGGAGGATCTACACAAGTTTTTTACATCATGTTTTACATCATGCATCATTTACATCATGTTTTTTTGTAGTGGCATAAATAAAAAATGACATTTGTGAGACTATACAGTGTTTTGTAAATAATTTTACAAAGAACGCCTGGGCCATTGCCTGCATTTTGATGTAAATAGAGGTAAATTACTATGTTCTTTGTTAAAAATTTGCATATGTTTTGAAGTTTACAATTTTTATTTGAAGTTTAAGTTTTAAAAACAGTTCATCACACATATTTGTGGTTTTCACAGTAAAAACGTTACTTTTTTCCACTCGGATTTTATGTTTTGTGTGTGAATTTGGGTCAAATGTGTAAATATAGTATGTCAAAATGATAAAATAACTGTAAATTGACACAGGTGAGGTTGTGCTGAAAAAAATGATACCAGGCAAGGCAAGGTAAAAATTTTGTAAGAGGAAATATAAAGGTAAAATCTAAAGTAGTCAAAAACGGCCAATAGTGACTCACAGACTCCATAGACAAGTCCCTTTGGCGCCACTCAGTGGGCAAAACTACTTTGTCTACTGTAATGTATATTTGGGTCATCTTTGGCGCCCCCTAAAACGTAAACCGTGGGGTGCAGCGTCATGATTTTTACAACTTTGAATGGCCATGGAGTGTAGATTGGCCTGAGCAAATTTGGTGTCAGTGGGACGAAAGCCTTAGGAGGACTTAGCCACATTCCAATGTGTGCGAATCGCCAAAAAATGCAAAATAGCCCTTTAACTGTACATTTTACACTTACGTGCCCATTGACTTTTTCATAGATCTTATTGAGATACACGTGATTGTCAAATTTTTTGTCAATATGACAAAGCGTAAAGGCGTGACACTCAACAACGTGTATTTTCACCTTTCGGGATAAGAAAAAATGGACTTTTTTCTCCTGCCATGGGGGGCGCTCTTTTGGGGAGTAAAAATTTCTTCACAAATGTGTTGATGGCTGGACATTGCATCATCCCAAAAAACTTGGAGGCCAGTATGGAAAAAAATAAAAAGTTATAAGACTTTTAAGAATGTGGATTTTTGGGTTATATTTGGTGCCCCCTAGAACCCAAACCGTGTGGTGCAGCAAGATGATTTGTACAACTTTTAATGGCCATGGGGTGTAGATTGGCCTGAGCAAATTTGGTGCCGGTGGAAAGATAGCCTTCGGAGGAGTTAGCGAAATTCCAATGTGTGCGGATCGGCAAAAAATTCAAACTAGCCCTTTAACCGTACATTTGACAGATACATGCCCTTTGACTTTTTCGTAGATCTTATTGAGATACACGTGATTGTCAAATTTTGTGTCAATATGACAAAGCATACAGGCGTGACACTCGACAATGTGTATTTTCACCTTAGGAGACAAGAAAAAATGGACCTTTTTCTCCTGCCATTGGGGGGCGCTCTTTAGGGGAGTAAAAATTCCTTCACAAATGTGTTGATGGCTGGACATTGCATCATCCTAGAAAACTTGGAGGCCAGTGAGGACAAAAGTAAAAAGTTATAAGACTTTTAAGAATGTGGATTTTTGGGTTATCTTTGGCGCCCCCTAGAACCTAAACCGTGGGGTGCAGCGTCATGATTTGTACAACTTTTAATGGCCATGGGGGGTAGATTGGCCTGCGCAAATGTGGTGCCGGTCGAACGAAAGCCTTCGGAGGAGTTAGCGAAATTCCAATGTGTGCAGATCTGCAAAAAATGCAAAATAACCCATTAACCGTACATTTGACAGATACGCCCGCACTGACTTTTTTGTAGATCTTATGGAGATACATGTGTGTGTCAATTTTTGTGTCAATATGACAAAGCGTACAGCCGTCATGTGAATTTTCACCTTAGGGGGCGCTATGGAGCCATTTTGCATATTATTGTTTGGGCGACTTCAGAATATCGAATTTTTCACCAGGCCCGGTCGTCCTGCCAAATATCCTGAGTTTTCGCCAGTGGGAAGTGGGCCATTTTCCAGTTTAAAGCGGAGGAAAAATAATAACTAGGGCCCCGTTGGGGCACTGGCGGGCCCGAGCCGTGTCGCGCTGCCCCCCCCAACGCGCTGCCTCCCCGTCCCATTCGCGTCCTCTGGCCATCGTCCTCTCTGGTAACGCCCATCACTGCAAAGACCCTTTCCTTCATCGGCGTTTGCTGTTCTTCCTGCCAGTGCGTGTTGCTTTCACTTACACTTGCCACAGCCAGCCTCGTGAGTGCCTAGCCTATTGGATATCACTGTCATCTACACAGGACAGTCATAACCTTTCTATTAATACTTTGTTTTTTAATTTCACATTAATTTCCATATTGTATAAATGACTGGAAAAAACTTGAGCCCCTGCCCCTGTATAATCATGTGCACGTCCCTGTTCTAGCTCCAAGGTGAATCTTCACTGCTCATGTTCTCCTCAGAAATAGTCACCTCACTCCCCTCAGGTTACTGTACACATGCACCAACTATCTGCTTCAGGTTTGAAATGGAGCTTCATGGTTGTCTTTTGGAGAAATGAACAGTCAAGTTGTGTTTGAAATTTGATTTTTATCAGGGGCAAAAGGAAGCCTCTGCATTCTTGTCAAATATGTAAACAGCATGTTTTTGCAGGTGCTAAAAAACAGACTCTGAGTGTGTGTGTGTGTGTGTGTTGGCGTGTGTGTATATGTGTGTGTATCCTGCAGTACTCTGTACTCCTGCAGTGGCCAAAAAGACTTTTAAAGAATGTGGATTTTTGGGTCATCTTTGGCGCCCCCTAGAACTGCAGTACTCTGTACTCCTGCAGTGGCCAAAATGACTTTTAAGAATGTGGATTTTTGGGTCATCTTTGGCGCCCCCTAGAACTGCAGTACTCTGTACTCCTGCAGTGGCCAAAATGACTTTTAAGAATGTGGATTTTTGGGTCATCTTTGGCGCCCCCTAGAACGTAAACCGTGGGGTGCAGCGTCATGATTTTTACAACTTTGAATGGGCATGGGGTGTAGATTGCCCTGAGCAAATTTGGTATCAGTGGGACGAAAGCCTTAGGAGGAGATAGCCACATTCCAATGTGTGCGAATCGGCAAAAAATGCGAAATAGCCCTTTAACCGTACATTATACAGATACGCGCTCTTTGACTTTTTCGTAGATCTAATTGAGATACACATGATTGTCAATTTTTGTGTCAATATGACAAAGCGTTCAGGCGTGACACTCAACAATGTGTATTTTCATGTAAGGGGACAAGAAAAAATTGACTTTTTTCTCCTGCCATGGGGGGGCGCTCTTTTGGGGAGTAAAAATTACTTCACAAATGTGTTGATGGCTGGACATTGCATCATCCTAGAAAACTTGGAGGGCAGTGAGGACAAAAATAAAAAGTTATAAGACTTTTAAGAATGTGGATTTTTGGGTTATCTTTGGCGCCCCCTAGAACCTAAACCGTGGGGTGCAGCGTCATGATTTGTACAACTTTGAATGGCCATGGGGTGTAGACTGGCCTGAGCAAATGTGGTGCCGGTGGAACGAAAGCCTTCGGAGGAGTTAGCGAAATTCCAATGTGTGCGGATCGGCAAAAAATGCGAAATAACCCTTTAACCGTACATTTGACAGATACGCCCGCACTGACTTTTTTGTAGATCTTATTGAGATACATATGTGTGTCAATTTTTGTGTCAATATGACAAAACGTACAGATGTGACAGTCAATAGTGTGAATTTCCACCTTAGGGGGCGCTATGGAGCCATTTTGCATTTTATTGTTTGGGCGACTTCAGAATATCGAATTTTTCACCAGGCCCGGTCGTCCTGCCAAATTTCATGAGTTTTCGCCAGTGGGAAGTGGGCCATTTTCCAGTTTAAAGCGGAGGAAAAATAATAATAATAATAACAAAAGAAGAATCCATCAGGAACAAGAGGGCTCTCGCAGCTGCTTAGCAGCTACGCTCGGGCCCTAACGAAAGAAGGAAACATGCAGGAACAAGAGGGCTCTCGCAGCTGCTTAGCAGCTACGCTCGGGCCCTAACTAGGGCCCCGTTGGGGCACTGGCGGGCCCGAGCCGTGTCGCGCTGCCCCCCCCAACGCGCTGCCTCCCCGTCCCATTCGCGTCCTCTGGCCATCGCCCTCTCTGGTAACGCCCATCACTGCAAAGACTCTTTCCTTCATCGGCGTTTGCTGTTCTTCCTGCCAGTGCGTGTTGCTTTCACTTACACTTGCCACAGCCAGCCTCGTGAGTGCCTAGCCTATTGGATATCACTGTCATCTACACAGGACAGTCATAACCTTTCTATTAATACTTGTTTTTTAATTTCACATTAATTTCAATATTGTATAAATGACTGGAAAAAACTTGAGCCCCTGCCCCTGTATAATCATGTGCACGTCCCTGTTCTAGCTCCAAGGTGAATCTTCACTGCTCATGTTCTCCTCAGAAGTAGTCACCTCACTTTCCTCAGGTGACTGTACACATGCACCAACTGCCTGCTTCAGGTTTGGATGGAGCTTCATGGTTGTCTTTTGGAGAAATGAGCAGTCAAGTTGTGTTTGAAATTTGATTTTTTTCAGGGGCAAAAAGGGGCCTCTGCATTCTAGTCAAATATGTAAATAGCATGTTTTTGCAGGTGCTAAAAAAAAAGACTCTGAGTGTGTGTGTGTATATCCTGCAGTACTCTGAGAAGAATAATAAGCATATTTCTGAGGTGAATTTTGAAGATTCATCTGAGAGTTAGGAGGGCTGATCATTCCCTTACCCTTTAGATGTCTGTCTATGTCTGTTTTTGTGTGATAATGAAAGAATCCCAACTCAAAAAGGCTCTGTTGATGTTTTTTTTTTGTTGTTGTTCATTCATATTCAAACCACTATTTTATATCACTGCTAATACGCCAAGACCTTTTTATGGAATTTAGCTTTATTATTTCTATACATTTTGCAAGGAAAGAAACCAAGGCCTTCACTAAAATTTCCATAAACTTTAGGAAAGGACCTCTGGTTGTTTAACGGGGTCATTACTGCAAAAACATATTCTTCCTAAATTTTGAAGGTCAAACCTTAGATCCATTAGGTTTAAATAGAAAAAGCATTAAAATATGTTAGGATTATAGCATATGACAAATATGTGCCTTTCAGTGGCCACAACTACTTTGTCTGCTGGCTCTGCAGTCGATTGACGCTCCCCAGCGTTCAAGTCACATTACATATTTAACCGGATGTAGCAGCAAGACGGAGCCTCGTTGACTCTCCGTTTCAACTTATCTCAAAAGTGAGGACCTCAAACTATACACCAGTTTTCAAATTGTGTTGATAGGCCAAATAAAACCAGAGTTATGATAAATTATGTCCGCGATACTTTTTTTCTGCTTATTTTGATCACGTTCGGCGCTCGATCGCGCTGTATGAGACAGGAAAACATAGCATGCAGACATTAGCGACAGGTCTTACAGGCGGAAAAGGCTTGCCAAAAGAAAAAAAAAACACACCACAACATCTCTCCTATTGGTGGAAAACTTCACCACAACAACCAATCCAAAATTATATGGTGACTGATTGACAAGGGGCGGGCGCTTACGTTCTTCCTGCAACATGAGAAGGGAGGGAGGAACTCTCAGCAGGGATGCAGTCTGGGACACGTAGTTGCAAACCTAGCGACTTTGTTGTTAGATTCAATGACTTTTCAGACCCCCTAACGACTTTTTTTAGAAAGAAAGGGACTTTTATCGACTTCTTCTGGAGTTTAGAGACTCTGACATGAAGCAGGCTTTCCTTACTGAGGAGTTAGCAACGCTGCTAAGGGTGCAGAGCCACACATGCGCTCCGAGCTCTGCATGGGAGACTAAAGCTGACAGAGCTGCAGCAGTTAGCAGGTTTCACCCTCAGAGACCACCAGGGGTTCATGTTGAGGCATTTTCAGTTTTTTTTTTTTTTTGCCATAGACACTGTCAGCACAATCTGCAGTTACACTAACAAAAATGCTGCAAAAAACAAAGAATTATGGAAAAATTACACATGGACTAACATAGAGGAGGATCTACACAAGTTTTTTACATCATGTTTTACATCATGCATCATTTACATCATGTTTTTTTGTAGTGGCATAAATAAAAAGTGACATTTGTGAGACTATACAGTGTTTTGTAAATAATTTTACAAAGAACGCCTGGGCCATTGCCTGCATTTTGATGTAAATAGAGGTAAATTACTATGTTCTTTGTTAAAAATTTGCATATGTTTTGAAGTTTACAATTTTTATTTGAAGTTTAAGTTTTAAAAACAGTTCATCACACATATTTGTGGTTTAATTTCACATTAATTTCCATATTGTATAAATGACTGGAAAAAACTTGAGCCCCTGCCCCTGTATAATCATGTGCACGTCCCTGTTCTAGCTCCAAGGTGAATCTTCACTGCTTATGTTCTCCTCAGAAATAGTCACCTCACTCCCCTCAGGTTACTGTACACATGCACCAACTATCTGCTTCAGGTTTGAAATGGAGCTTCATGGTTGTCTTTTGGAGAAATGAACAGTCAAGTTGTGTTTGAAATTTGATTTTTTTCAGGGGCAAAAGGAAGCCTCTGCATTCTTGTCAAATATGTAAACAGCATGTTTTTGCAGGTGCTTAAAAACAGACTCTGAGTGTGTGTGTGTGTGTGTGTGTGTGTATGTTGGCGTGTGTGTATATGTGTGTGTATCCTGCAGTACTCTGTACTCCTGCAGTGGCCAAAAAGACTTTTAAGAATGTGGATTTTTGGGTCATCTTTGGCGCCCCCTAGAACTGCAGTACTCTGTACTCCTGCAGTGGCCAAAATGACTTTTAAGAATGTGGATTTTTGGGTCATCTTTGGCGCCCACTAGAACGTAAACCGTGGGGTGCAGCGTCATGATTTTTACAACTTTGAATGGGCATGGGGTGTAGATTGCCCTGAGCAAATTTGGTATCGGTGGGACGAAAGCCTTAGGAGGAGATAGCCACATTCCAATGTGTGCGAATCGGCAAAAAATGCAAAATAGCCCTTTAACCGTACATTATACAGATACAAATGTGTTGATGGCTGGACATTGCATCATCCTAAAAAACTTGGAGGCCAGTATGGAAAAAAATAAAAAGTTATAACACTTTTAAGAATGTGGATTTTTGGGTTATATTTGGTGCCCCCTAGAACCCAAACCGTGGGGTGCAGCAAGATGATTTGTACAACTTTTAATGGCCATGGGGTGTAGATTGGCCTGAGCAAATTTGGTGCCGGTGGAAAGATAGCCTTCGGAGGAGTTAGTGAAATTCCAATGTGTGCGGATCAGCAAAAAATGCAAAATAGCCCTTTAACCGTACATTTGACAGATACATGCCCTTTGACTTTTTCGTAGATCTTATTGAGATACACGTGATTGTCAAATTTTGTGTCAATATGACAAAGCATACAGGCGTGACACTCGACAATGTGTATTTTGACCTTTGGAGACAAGAAAAAATGGACTTTTTTCTCCTGCCATGGGGGGGCGCTCTTTTAGGGAGTAAAAATTCCTTCACAAATGTGTTGATGGCTGGACATTGCATCATCCTAGAAAACTTGGAGGCCAGTGAGGACAAAAGTAAAAAGTTATAACACTTTTAAGAATGTGGATTTTTGGGTTATCTTTGGCGCCCCCTAGAACATAAACCGTGGGGTGCAGCGTCATGATTTGTACAACTTTTAATGGCCATGGGGGGTAGATTGGCCTGCGCAAATGTGGTGCCGGTCGAACGAAAGCCTTCGGAGGAGTTAGCGAAATTCCAATGTGTGCAGATCTGCAAAAAATGCAAAATAACCCATTAACCGTACATTTGACAGATACGCCCGCACTGACTTTTTTGTAGATCTTATGGAGATACATGTGTGTGTCAATTTTTGTGTCAATATGACAAAGCGTACAGCCGTCATGTGAATTTTCACCTTAGGGGGCGCTATGGAGCCATTTTGCATATTATTGTTTGGGCGACTTCAGAATATCGAATTTTTCACCAGGCCCGGTCGTCCTGCCAAATATCCTGAGTTTTCGCCAGTGGGAAGTGGGCCATTTTCCAGTTTAAAGCGGAGGAAAAATAATAACGAAAGAAGGAAACATGCAGGAACAAGAGGGCTCTCGCAGCTGCTTAGCAGCTACGCTCGGGCCCTAACTAGGGCCCCGTTGGGGCACTGGCGGGCCCGAGCCGTGTCGCGCTGCCCCCCCCAACGCGCTGCCTCCCCGTCCCATTCGCGTCCTCTGGCCATCGCCCTCTCTGGTAACGCCCATCACTGCAAAGACTCTTTCCTTCATCGGCGTTTGCTGTTCTTCCTGCCAATGTGTGCGGATCAGCAAAAAATGCAAAATAGCCCTTTAACCGTACATTTGACAGATACATGCCCTTTGACTTTTTCGTAGATCTTATTGAGATACACGTGATTGTCAAATTTTGTGTCAATATGACAAAGCATACAGGCGTGACACTCGACAATGTGTATTTTGACCTTTGGAGACAAGAAAAAATGGACTTTTTTCTCCTGCCATGGGGGGGCGCTCTTTTAGGGAGTAAAAATTCCTTCACAAATGTGTTGATGGCTGGACATTGCATCATCCTAGAAAACTTGGAGGCCAGTGAGGACAAAAGTAAAAAGTTATAACACTTTTAAGAATGTGGATTTTTGGGTTATCTTTGGCGCCCCCTAGAACATAAACCGTGGGGTGCAGCGTCATGATTTGTACAACTTTTAATGGCCATGGGGTGTAGATTGGCCTGCGCAAATGTGGTGCCGGTCGAACGAAAGCCTTCGGAGGAGTTAGCGAAATTCCAATGTGTGCAGATCTGCAAAAAATGAAAAATAACCCATTAACCGTACATTTGACAGATACGCCCGCACTGACTTTTTTGTAGATCTTATTGAGATACACGTGTGTGTCAATTTTTGTGTCAATATGACAAAGCGTACAGCCGTCATGTGAATTTTCACCTTAGGGGGCGCTATGGAGCCATTTTGCATTTGATTTTTTGGGCGACTTCAGAATATCGAATTTTTCACCAGGCCCGGTCGTCCTGCCAAATTTCCTGAGTTTTCGCCAGTGGGAAGTGGGCCATTTTCCAGTTTAAAGCGGAGGAAAAATAATAACGAAAGAAGGAAACATGCAGGAACAAGAGGGCTCTCGCAGCTGCTTAGCAGCTACGCTCGGGCCCTAAGAAGAATCCATCAGGAATAATAGGGCTCTCGCAGCTGCTTAGCAGCTACGCTCGGGCCCTAACAAGAGGGCTCTCGCAGCTGCTTAGCTGCTTAGCTACGCTCGGGCCCTAATAAAAAGAGAGGAGACGACAAGATAAGCTTCAGAGCAGTTGGAAATTGTAACTGAACGTATCTCTGTCCGTTCTCCTCGCAAGTAAGAAATCTAATACTATTGTCTTTAGGGCCCGAGCGTAGCTGCTAAGCAGCTGCGAGAGCCCTCTTGTTCCTGATGGATTCTTCTTTTGTTATTAGGGCCCGAGCCAGCTGCAGAGCAGCCGGGCTTAGAGCCCTATTATTCCTGTATAGGTTTTTCTTTCTTCTTTCTTTCTTTCTTTCTTTAGGGCCCGAGCGTAGCTGCTAAGCAGCTGCGAGAGCCCTCTTGTTCCTGATGGATTCTTCTTTTGTTAGGGCCCGAGCCAGCTGCAGAGCAGCCGGGCGTAGGCCCTATTATTCCCCAAGTGGTTTTTCTTTGTTTCTTTCTTTCTTTTTAGGGCCCGAGCGTAGCTGCTAAGCAGCTGCGAGAGCCCTCTTGTTCCTGATGGATTCTTCTTTAGGGCCCGAGCGTAGCTGCTAAGCAGCTGCGAGAGCCCTATTATTCCCCAAGGGGTTTTTCTTTGTTTCTTTCTTTCTTTCTTTCTTCTTTTTCCTCCCCTTTGAACTGGAAAATGGCCCACTTCCCACTGGCGAAAACTCAGGAAATTTGGCAGGACGACCGGGCCTGGTGAAAAATTCGATATTCTGAAGTCGCCCAAACAATAAAATGCAAAATGGCTCCATAGCGCCCCCTAAGGTGGAAATTCACACTATTGACTGTCACGCCTGTACGCTTTGTCATATTGACACAAAAATTGACACACATATGTATCTCAATAAGATCTACAAAAAAGTCAGTGCGGGCGTATCTGTCAAATGTACGGTTAAAGGGTTATTGCGCATTTTTTGCCGATCCGCACACATTGGAATTTCGCTAACTCCTCCGAAGGCTTTCGTTCCACCGGCACCACATTTGCTCAGGCCAATCTACACCCCATGGCCATTAAAAGTTATTCAAATCATGACGCTGCACCCCACGGTTTAGGTTCTAGGGGGCGCCAAAGATAACCCTAAAATCCACATATTTAAAAGTCTTATAACTTTTTATTTTTGCCTTCACTGGCCTCCAAGTTTTCTAGGATAATGCAATGTCCAGCCATCAACACATTTGTGAAGGCATTTTTACTCCCCAAAAGAGCGCCCCCCCATGGCAGGAGAAAAAAGTCCATTTTTTCTTGTCCCCTAAGGTGAAAATACACATTGTTGAGTGTTACGCCTGTACGCTTTGGCAAAATGACACAAAAATTGACACACACATGTATCTCAAGAAGATCTACAAAAAAGTCAAAGAGCGCGTATCTGTCTAATGTACGGTTAAAGGGTTATTCCGCATTTTTTGCCGATTCGCACACATTGGAATTTCGCTAACTCCTCCGAAGGCTTTCGTTCCACCAGCACCACATTTGCTCAGGCCAAATTACACCCCATGGCCATTAAAAGTTATTCAAATCATGACGCTGCACCCCACGGTTTATGTTCTAGGGGGCGCCAAAGATAACCCAAAAATCCACATTTTTAAAAGTCTTTTAACTTTTTATTTTTGTCCTCACTGGCCTCCAAGTTTTCTAGGATGATGCAATGTCCAGCCATCAACACATTTGTGAAGGAATTTTTACTCCCTAAAAGAGCGCCCCCCCATGGCAGGAGAAAAAAGTCCATTTTTTCTTGTCCCCTAAGGTGAAAATACACATTGTTGACTGTCACGCCTGTACGCTTTGGCAAAATGACACAAAAATTGACAATCATGTGTATCTCAATTAGATCTACGAAAAAGTCAAAGAGCGCGTATCTGTATAATGTACGGTAAAAGGGCTATTTTGCATTTTTTGCCAATTCGCACACATTGGAATTTCGCTAACTCCTCCTAAGGCCTTCGTCCCACTGACACCAAATTTGATCAGGCCAATCTACACTCCATGGCCATTCAAAGTTGTAAAAATCATGACGCTGCACCCCACGGTTTACGTTTTAGGGGGCGCCAAAGTTGACCCAAATATACATTACAGTAGACAAAGTAGTTTTGCCCACTGAGTGGCGCCAAAGGGACTTGTCTGTGGAGTCTGTGAGTCACTATTGGCCGTTTTTGACTACTTTAGATTTTACCTTTATATTTCCTCTTACAAAATTTTTACCTTGCCTTGCCTGGTATCATTTTTTTCAGCACAACCTCACCTGTGTCAATTTACAGTTATTTTATCATTTTGACATACTATATTTACACATTGGACCCAAATTCACACACAAAACATAAAATCCGAGTGGAAAAAAGTAACGTTTTTACTGTGAAAACCACAAATATGTGTGATGAACTGTTTTTAAAACTTAAACTTCAAATAAAAATTGTAAACTTCAAAACATATGCAAATTTTTAACAAAGAACATAGTAATTTACCTCTATTGACATCAAAATGAAGGCAATGGCCCAGGTGTTCTTTGTAAAATTATTTATAAAACACTGTATAGTCTCACAAATGTCACTTTTTATTTATGCCACTACAAAAAAACATGATGTAAATGATGCATGATGTAAAACATGATGTAAAAAACTTGTGTAGATCCTCCTCTATGTTAGTCCATGTGTAATTTTTCCATAATTCTTTGTTTTTTGCAGCATTTTTGTTAGTGTAACTGCAGATTGTGCTGACAGTGTCTATGGCAAAAAAAAAAAAAAAAAAAAACTGAAAATGCCTCAACATGAACCCCTGGTGGTCTCTGAGGGTGAAACCTGCTAACTGCTGCAGCTCTGTCAGCTTCAGTCTCCCATGCAGAGCTCGGAGCGCATGTGTGGCTCTGCACCCTTAGCAGTGTTGCTAACTCCTCAGTAAGGAAAGCCTGCTTCATGTCAGAGTCTCTAAACTCCAGAAGAAGTCGATAAAAGTCACTTTCTTTCTAAAAAAAGTCGTTAGGGGGTCTGAAAAGTCATTGAATCTAACAACAAAGTCGCTAGGTTTGCAACTACGTGTCCCAGACTGCATCCCTGCTGAGAGTCCCTCCCTCCCTTCTCATATTGCAGGAAGAACGTAAGTTCCCGCCCCTTGTCAATCAGTCACCATATAATTTTGGATTGGTTGTTGTGGTGAAGTTTTCCACCAATAGGAGAGATGTTGTGGTGTGTTTTTTTTTCCTTTGGCAAGCCTTTTCCGCCTGTAAGACCTGTTGCTAATGTCTGCATGCTATGTTTTCCTGTCTCATACAGCGCGATCGAGCGCCGAACGTGATCAAAATAAGCAGAAAACAAGTATCGCGGACATAATTTATCATAACTCTGGTTTTATTTGGCCTATCAACACAATTTAAAAACTGGTATATAGGTTGAGGTCCTCACTTTTGAGATAAATTGAAACGGAGAGTCAACGAGGCTCCGTCTTGCAGCTACATCCGGTTAAATATGTCATGTGACTTGAACGCACACACACACACACACACACACAGACACACACACACACGCACACACACACACTCAGAGTCTGGTTTTTAGCACCTGCAAAAACATGCTATTTACATATTTGACAAGAATGCAGAGGCTCCTTTTGCCCCTGAAAAAAATCAAATTTCAAACACAACTTGACTGTTCATTTCTCCAAAAGACAACCATGAAGCTCCATCCAAACCTGAAGCAGGCAGTTGGTGCATGTGTACAGTAACCTGAGGGGAGTGAGGTGACTGCTTCTGAGGAGAACATGAGCAGTGAAGATTCACCTTAGAGCTAGAACAGAGACGTGCACATGATTATACAGGGGCAGGGGCTCAAGTTTTTTCCAGTTGTTTATACAATATGGAAATTAATGTGAAATTAAAAAACAAAGTATTAATAGAAAGGTAATGACTGTCCTGTGTAGGTGACAGTGATATCCAATAGGCTAGGCACTCACGAGGCTGGCTGTGGCAAGTGTAAGTGAAAGCAACACGCACTGGCAGGAAGAACAGCAAACGCCGATGAAGGAAAAGGGTCTTTGCAGTGATGGGCGTTACCAGAGAGGGCGACGGCCAGAGGACGCGAATGGGACGGGGAGGCAGCGCGTTGGGGGGGGGGGACGCGACACAGCTCGGGCCCGCCAGTGCCCCAACGGGGTCCTAGTTAGGGCCCGAGCGTAGCTGCTAAGCAGCTGCGAGAGCCCTATTATTCCTGATGGATTCTTCTTTCTTCTTCTTCTTTAGGGCCCGAGCCAGCTGCAGAGCAGCCGGGCGTAGGCCCTGTTATTCCTGTAGGGGTTTTTCTTTGTTTCTTTCTTTCTTCTTTTTCCTCCCCTTTGAACTGGAAAATGGCCCACTTCCCACTGGCGAAAACTCAGGAAATTTGGCAGGACGACCGGGCCTGGTGAAAAATTTGATATTCCGAAGTCGCCCAAACAAGAAAATGCAAAATGGCTCCATAGCGCCCCCTAAGGTGAAAATTCACACTATTGACTGTCACGCCTGTACGCTTTGTCAAAATGACACAAAAATTGACACACACATGTATCTCAATAAGATCTACAAAAAAGTCAGTGCGGGCGTATCTGTCAAATGTACGGTTAAAGGGTTATTTCGCATTTTTTGCCGATCCGCACACATTGGAATTTCGCTAACTCCTCCGAAGGCTTTCGTTCCACCGGCACCACATTTGCTCAGGCCAATCTACACCCCATGGCCATTAAAAGTTATTCAAATCATGACGCTGCACCCCACGGTTTAGGTTCTAGGGGGCGCCAAAGATAACCCTAAAATCCACATTTTTAAAAGTCTTATAACTTTTTATTTTTGCCCTCACTGGCCTCCAAGTTTTCTAGGATGATGCAATGTCCAGCCATCAACACATTT